ATGACACTGGGGACCCTGGATGGGCGCACAGTAATGAGGTATCCCTCCATCCTGGACCAGCAGGGCTGGCTGAGGGTGCCCAGCCTGGCACAGCCCCCTCAGCTACCGCCTCGGGGTGAAGGGGACCAACACTGAGCTAGGGGTGCAAACCCAACCCAAACCCTGCCATCTGCAAAGCAGACTCACAGTGACCATCAGGGAGCTGAGCAGAACAGCCCCTGTGGGTTTCCGAGACGGTAACTCTTTACGGAGCTAGGAAGCCCCGTCTTTCCCCCACGGAGCTGCTGGTGGTTTTGAACTGCTGACCCCGTGCGTGGCAGCCTGAACCGGAACCACTTCACCACCTGGGCTCCTGGGCTGGGGGTGCGGAGGGGGAAACACAGAAATGCAAGGCACGGGAACCTGAGCCTTCGAGACACCTCCGGAGAATCACCGTAGGGGGAAACGTTGCCAGCAGATGAAGGGCAGGCAGCCCCCGCCTTCCTCCCTGCCCGACGGGCACCTGCCTACCGCAGAGACTGGCCCAGCCAAGCCCATGAGCCTGGCACAGACTCGGAGCCCATCGCCCTTCGGTCGGGGGCGGCAGTGATGCTGCCAGGAGAGATGGTGTGACAGCTGTTGTGATTTCGAGGGTTTAATTTGACAACGAGCTAAGTGTGACCTCACAGTGGGCTCTGGCTGCCAAAGAGCGGTGTGGGCCCCGGCTCCCTCCAGAGTGGGGAGGGCCTCGCAGCTCGGGCCTGCCCAGGCAGCCTGCGGCAGGAGGGGGTCCAGCTCTCAGCCAGCATTCTCGGGATATGGACAGGCATTGGTGAGGCTCGAGGAACCGGACGAAACGCCACCCCACCTGGTGACCATTCCTGTGTGTGAGCCCATGGCCGGTCCGCAGCCACGATGTCTGGCCCCCTCGTGGAGGGTCTTCCTCTTTTTCACTGCCCCTCTGCTGGTCCCTCCTGATGACCTCTTGTCCAGAGTCCCTGAGATGAAGAAGTGTCATCCTCCTCCTTTCTAAGGAGCAGTCTGGCCGCACTTGTCTTGCTCCCAGCTGCCCGAGCTGTGTTCAGTAGTCTTCATCAACACCACTGTGTCAGTCCGGGTGGACTAGCGAAACAAATTCATAGACACTCATGTGTATAAGAAAGAGCTTTATAGACAAGAGCAGTTGAATATTGAGCAAACATCCCAGCCCAGTCCAGATCAAGTCCATAAGTCCGATATTAGCCCATATGCCCAACACCAGTCTATAAATTTCTCTTCAGTCTCACTCAACACATGCAATGATGCCAAAATACAGGGTGATCGCAGGCCGGTAGGTGGGAGGTCTTGTGGATCCAGTGGCAGGGGAAGCATCCCAGCACTGGCAGGGTCTCCACGTGGCTGTTTCAGCTCCAGGACTAGCACAGCTCCATGCGTTTTCTCAACAGGAGTGTCTTGCAGGGTGTGTGTGTGTGTGTGTGTGTGACTTATCTCCTTAGCACCTCCAAATGAGGTCATCAAGCTGCAGCTGATTGACAGGCTAAATTCCACCCCTTCACTCTAAGTCTCAAATTGACAATA